ACATGCTTAGAGTGTTGCTTATTATCATCTCATTTTAGTCTTTTGTCTAAGATGCGCTGTAAAGACCTTTTGTAACTTAACCCCAAGAGAAGGTGAGTTAGAACTTAAGTTAGATTTTGATGATTCAAAGACTTCCGCTGTAATAGTTTAAATGGTTTTAAATTAGCTATTACTTTGGTGTATTTATTAAGGAAATGTCACAGATTACGTGACATCTCTCTTGATGAAAATGAGGGTGTTACAAGTTGGTATCAAAGCCTTAGTTTAAGGTAATTAGGCTAAAACTTACCTAGCTTAAGCTTAAACTRAGAAGATTGTTAGAGCTTTAGTTTAAGGTAAATAGGTTGAGATTTGCTTAGCCTAAGCTTAAACTGAAAGGATTATTAGAAGCACATGTTTATTGTGTATTGGTGCGCTTAGCATGCGGTTAAGTTTGATCCTACGTCACTACTCGACTTAGTGTTCCTTTTTATTTGTAGGAGACATGGTTTGCACTATCCACACCAGGGCTATCAAATGTGGACGCGGACGTGGATACGGAACCCGTAGGATGCCTTACGGGCTAGGACCGAATAGAGGGTCGATTGCCAAACACCGCCCCAACACCGGGCAGGTTCCTAGTACCCAGTCCGGAAGCGATAGTCCGGCCCACACTAGTGAAGTGTCATCACGCGAGCCCATCAGGCAAGGGACCACGCCTGAACCTTCGGTGGACTACACGCCCCGCACCCCGATACGTGAGGACATGATGGAGACTATAGAGACCCTGGAGGGCGAAAACACAAGGCTAAGGGAGAGGGTGACCCGAACATTAGATGACAATACTAGACTGAATGAATGGCTGAACAATCTTCAGCGGGCACATGTCAAACAAGGAGGAACCCTAATCGAGCTGATTAAAGAGAATACGGATTTGTCGGACCAGTGTCATGCCCTGATTTGGGACAAAGTTGTGCTTGAACAAGAGCGGATAATTGATGTTCGCCCAATAGGCACTAGAATCAGAGACAGAGTTCACTTCTATAAGAGAATGACTGTAGACTATGCTGGTGTAGTGAGGGGTATTTCTCCGAATGGGTCTGATGCATCAAGAATGGCCCAAGGGCTAGTGTGTGGTGGCACTCCAGGCCCTCCACATCATTTGAAGAATGGGTAAGGGACCCTTATCTCCCTTACTACCCTACAGATCAGTTTTAGACATGGGATCAGGGATGAGAGAAGGATCTTTTGAGTAGGAGAACTAATTGTACGTGTTTAGGTAGTATCTTCTAGCCAGTGCTACGATAGATTTTTGGAACATTTACCTGTATTTAGAACCGTGAAGCATCCCATCTTTTGTAAGTAAATGGGATTTTGTAATCTCTCTCTCCCCATAATTGTATTAGAACGAAATATATATATATATATATATCTTTTGGAACATTATGCAATTGCGACGTAAATTCCTTATCACGTATTTCGCTGATATATATAATGATTTTACTATATACGTATATGTATACGTATAATGTATATACATAAATGTAATATGTTAAGTCGACACTAGAACCTTGTTGAAACAATAATACTCTATTGTGTCAGTATGGTTTCTCGCGGATCAACAAGGAACGCCCGCGATGGGGGAGGTATCAATAGCGTAGCCCAACCGACAGTTCGGGGACGGACACGAGCCTAAATTCGAGGTCGCAGAAGTGTTCGAACCGCTAGTTCGAGTACGACCTCATCCGCGCCAGCTAGTTTGGCAATCGGTAGGAGCCAAGGGGGCCAAGGAGGAGAAATTCCTCTCACAAAGGAAGTGATGGCTGAGCAAATGGCACAAGTCCTCCGGGATACGTTGCCAACTATGCTTAAAGAAATGATGGGTGACAAACTTAAGGATAATGAAGGTGGGGAGGAAGGAAGCGTTCGACACGAGAACACTCAAGTCCCTGAAAGGGAGGAAGTGTCCAATAAAGAGAAGGTGGAGTCGCTCATCATTGAGAAAACCGAGTTGACTGCAAAGGAGAGAGGATGCAGTTTTAAAACATTCAAAGGCACCGGGCCAAAAGAATTTAAAGGAATAGARGGCCCAGTTGGCCTGATGAACTGGGTAGCCAAAGTGCAGAGCTGCTTTAAAATTTGTAGATGCGCGAAAGATCAAAAGGTGACTTATGCTGCTACAACCTTTGTGGATTATGCGTTGCATTGGTGGGAGTCTGAATGTACAATCAGAGGAGATGAGGATATTGCTGCCATGAATTGGGAGCAAATGAAAAAGATGATTATGGATAAGTACTGCTCGCAAACGAAGATGAACAAGCTAGAATCTGAATTTCTGAAATTGAAGGAAGGATCGTTGTCTGTTCAAGAATATGTTAACAAATTTCTTGAAAAAGCGAGGTTCGCCAGTTACCAGGTGGCTACCGAGGAGAGAAAGATAGGTCGTTTCAAGGACGGCCTAAGGATCGAAATCAAATGTTACGTGGACATGACCAAGCCGACCACGTTTGTCCAAGCAGTAGAAATGGCGAAAGTAGCAGAAGAGAACAACGCTAGGGAGAACCATGATAGAAGGGATGCAAAGAGAAGATGGGAAGGATCGAACAAGTCCGACAAGAAGCCAAAATAGACTCCAACTTTGGCAAAAACAAGAAGCGAGGGATTCTCTATTCCTCAATGTAACAAATCCAACAAGAGGCATAAGGGAGAGTGCAGAGCAGGGAGCCTGGCGTGCTATAGATGTGACAAACCGGGGCACACCGCACGAGAGTGCCCGGAAGGAAGGACTTGTTACGAATGTGGGGCTATGGGACATTTGCGTCCTGACTGTCCAAAACGTCGCAATGGTGCGACAACCCACGGGAAGACAGCGAACAACGGATTTGGGAAGAGAGCGGAAAACAGGAAGGAACTGCCTAAGGGACACGGCTGAGCTTACAACATGACTTTGGAGGAGGCAAAGGAAACACCCAACGTCGTATCTGGTATGTTCCCTATCAACAATGTGTATGCACATGTGTTATTTGATTCGGGTGCAAATGGTAGTTTTGTGTCTACCACTTTCTGCCACTATCTGAATAGYAGTGCYYGTAGGCTAGACAAAACCTACACTGTAGAAATAGCTGACGGTAGTCAGCGTAAAGTAGAAGAGGTATTCGATGAATGCACAATTGTTATAGACGGGAAGGAATTCCCCGTTAGGCTTATGCCGATGTGTTTAGGAGGTTTTGACGTAGTCTTGGGGATGGATTGGCTATCCAACAATCATGCGCAAATAGTGTGTAATAAGAATATGATCAAGATTCAGACTCCGGAAGGAGAAACAATTCATGTTTACGGTGATCGAAAGAAGTGTTGCATAGGGTTGATCAATGCAACTAAGGCAAATAGGTGTCTACGGAGGGGATGTGAGGCTTACTTGGCATACGCCATCGACACCAAGCTCGAAAAGAAGACGTTACAAGATGTTCCAGTGGTAAGGGACTACCCAGAAGTATTCCCGGATGAATTGCCAGGAATACCACCGGAACGTCAGGTAGAGTTCCGAATCGATTTGGTACCAGGTGCGGTACCAATCGCAAGGGCACCTTATCGCTTAGCCCCAACAGAGATGCAAGAGATAATGAAGCAATTGCAAGAACTCTTAGATAAAGGATTTATCCGGCCAAGCTCGTCTCCATGGGGAGCACCTATCTTGTTCGTCAAAAAGAAAGACGGCAAGATGAGGATGTGTATCGATTATCGGGAGTTGAACAAAATCACGATAAAGAACAGATATCCATTGCCAAGGATCGACGACCTTTTTGATCAGTTGCAAGGAGCCAGCTACTTCTTGAAGAGATCAGGTTACCATCTGTTGAAGGTTCGAGAAGAGGACGTGTCGAAGACCGCTTTTAGGACTCGTTACGGACACTATGAATTTGTAGTAATGTCGTTTGGGTTAACAAACGCACCTGCGGCATTCATGGACTTGATGAATCGAGTTTGTGGACCGTATTTGGACCAATTTGTCATTGTCTTTATAGACGACATTTTGATCTATTCGAAAAATGAGAAGGAGCATGAACGACATTTAAGGGTGATTCTTGAACTACTAGCCAAGGAACAATTGTACGCCAAGTTCTCAAAATGTGAGTTTTGGTTGCATGAGGTACAATTTCTCGGTCACATGGTTAACACGGAAGGGATCAAGGTGGATCCGGCTAAGATTGATGCGGTAATGAACTGGGAATCACCAAAGTCAGTAACGGAGATCCGAAGTTTTCTAGGCCTAGCAGGGTATTACCGAAGATTCATCCAGGATTTCTCCAAAATAGCAACGCCCTTGACAACGTTGACTAAGAAGTCATTTAGGTTTGATTGGAGAACGAAACAAGAAGAAGCGTTCCAGACACTTAAGGAGAGACTAAGCACTGCACCGATTTTAGCACTACCGGAAGGAGTAGAAGATTTTATCGTTTACAGCGATGCATCAAAGATGGGTTTAGGTTGTGTACTAATGCAGCGAGGCAAGGTCATTGCATATGCRTCTCGTCAGTTGAAGGAACACGAGAGGAAATACCCAACTCATGACATGGAATTAGCAGCGGTTGTCTTCGCGCTAAAAATCTGGAAACACTATCTGTACGGTACGAAGTGTATAATCTATACTGACCATAAGAGCCTTAAGTACTTGTTTGATCAAAATGAGCTAAATATGAGACAAAGAAGATGGATGAAACTACTTAAGGATTATGATTGTGAGATTTACTATCATCCAGGTAAGGCAAATGCAGTTGCCGATGCACTTAGTAGGAAGGAGAGAAACGGACCAATCAGGGTTCGAGCCATGTGGATGAATGTTAAGGTGGAGCTCCTAGACCGAATACGGGATGTCCAGAAGGAAGCTTTACTTGAAGCRAATATCAAAAAGGAGAGAATGATTGGACAAATTAAGACCTTGACAGCCGGACCAGATGGAATATATAGACATGGGAATCGGGTTTGGATTCCTAGTTTAGGAGATCTAAGAAAAGTAGTGATGGACGAAGAACATAAGTCTAAATATACTATGCACCCAGGTAGTAATAAGATGTACAAGAACATAAAAGAAAGCTACTGRTGGCCTGGTATGAAGAGAGCAGTAGCTAGCTATGTGGGGAAATGTCTGACGTGCTTGAAGGTGAAGACCGAGCACCAAAAACCATCTGGAATGTTGCAACAAATGGAGATCTCAGTATGGAAGTGGGATATGATCACGATGGATTTCTTCACCAAACTCCCAAGGACGGTAAAGGGGCACGACGCCATATGGGTAATTGTGGACCGACTAACGAAATCGGCTCACTTCCTACCAATTAGCGACAAGTATACATTGGAAAGATTGGCCCAACTTTATGTCAACGAGATTGTGTCAAGGCATGGAGTGCCAATATCCATTGTCTCTGATAGAGATGCTAGGTTTACTTCGAGGTTTTGGTCAAGTTTTCAACAAGAAATGGGAACGCGGTTGAACATGAGTACCGCATATCATCCTCAAACTGATGGCCAGAGTGAGAGGACGATACAAACATTAGAAGATATGTTGAGAGCCTGCGTAATTGACTTTGGAGGTAGTTGGGACAACCACCTCCCATTGATAGAATTTGCTTATAACAATAGTTACCATTCGAGTACCAAGGCGGTGCCTTTTGAAGTGTTATATGGCCGTAAGTGTAGAACTCCAATTTGTTGGGCAGACGTTGGAGAAAGGCAACTAGCTGGACCCAAGTTAGTCCAACAGACATCTGAAAAAATAGTACAGATCAGGGAGAGATTAAAGGTTGCGCAAGATAGACAAAAGAGTTATGCGGATAGAAGACGTCGACCTTTGGAATTCCATGTAGGTGATAAGGTCTCGCTGAGAATATCGCCATGGAAAGGGGTCGTAAGATTTGGGAAGAAAGGTAAGCTAAGTCCAAGGTATATCGGACCATTTGAAATAACTGCAAGAGTAGGAGCAGTTGCTTATCGGTTGAAGCTACCGGAGGAGTTAGGCAGTATTCACAATATCTTTCATGTGTCAAACTTGAGAAAATGTTTAGCTGACGAATCGACTGTTGTAGATTTGGAAGACATCGAGGTTAACAACAAACTCGCCTATGTGGAAGAACCAATTGGTATATTGGATAAGAAGACGAAAAGACTAAGAAACAAAAGTATACCATTGGTGCTAGTTAAGTGGAAATTCCATAAAGGCGCAGAAATGACGTGGGAACCAGAAGAAGAGATGAAGGCTAGATATCCTCAGTTGTTTTAACGAGTTTTAATTCCGAGGACGGAATTTCTTGAAGGAGGGGAGAGTTGTAAAACCCAAAAAATTTCGAGGAATAAATAATGTATTACTTCGATTTTATTCATATATATATATATATATATATATACACATATATATAATCAATTTGAAACTTGAATAAGTTAAATCTTGCTGATTTTAGCCACGGCTGAAGGCTCTTATTAGAGGAAGGCCAGCTGTTGACGTTGGGAGAGGCAGGAGAGGGCAGGCGATGCCTGGTCCCTTTGAGGAAACTGTGACCTGCATGCTTGCAGAGGGCAGTTCACAGCCAAAAACCCGGGATTTGGCCGATTTGGTCAACTAATAGGCCAAACCATTTGAGTATAAATCATGGGCAATAGCTTAGAGTTGTTACTCTTTGAGAAGAAGAAGGAAATCGTTGAGCCTGAAGGAGAGAAGCCGGAGTTCATACCATCAAGAAAACCCCTGCTTCCCGTCGTTTAG